AACTAAAATCGCAGCAAAAATCGGCCTTTATGATTATAATTTCCCGTCGAAATGTCCATCTTCGAAAAACGCTTCAACATTTAGTTCTATCGAGTGAGATGCTCAAAATCTTGATATTTACCCATAAACCTTACACTAGCCGGCAAAAGTTTATTTATTTGAATTGTAACCATCAATATTATCCATTCAATATTAACCATTCATCGAATACGTTGAACTACCGCATTACATCACAGGGGGTCCAACTAAGAGCTGTGTTATGAATATGAATAAAACATTAATTAAACGTAATATGAATAAAACATCATAACGTAATATATTTAAATTATTGCACTTACTTGTATAAATCATAAGAGCTTGTATTTGCAGTGAATAGCTTTTAACAGGGCGCTTATATACGCTTAGAAAATCGCTCAGAAACATTTTGATTCGAACGATTGTTCAAATATGGCGAATAAATTGACAAAACGAAAATATTACATGACGTTCCAACGAAAGTAACAGCAAGGATTGCGGGCGCGCGAGCAAGCGAAAAGGCGAGGGAAGAAATAAACACAGGGGGTCCAACTAACAGCTGTGTTATGAATAAAACATATTAATTAAACGTAATATGAATAAAACATCATAACGTAATATTGCACTTACTTGTATAAATCATAAGAGCTTGCATTTTAATACAGTGAATAGCTTCAAAAACTTGCTTCGTTCCAAAGACTTCAAATATGGCGAATAAATTGACAAAACGATAATATTACATGACGTTCCAACGAAAATAACAGAAAGGATTGCGGGCGCGAGCGGAAGGCGAGGGTAATAGATATTAATAGAAGGGATGAAACACCGGTAATGCGATCGTGTGATGTGTTCCATAAGTAGCCTGTTCTCTCGGAAAATTCCAAAACGCCTCCTGCCAACTCCAACAACGCCTACGCGCTTAATTAATGAAAATAAACAATGTTTAGCTATACCGGCTAATATGAAATGTTTAAATGTAGCGACCAACGTTTTTTTTTACATTATTTAGTTTTATTATTATTTCGTCATACGTCACGAGAACAGGCTACTTATGGAACACATCTCGCGATAATGGCCAAGAATGCTCGCTGTTATAAATCACATAAATTAGATTGATCAGTGCTTTTTTAGTAATGACTAGGCTTGTTCATGTAAGAGAACATCGACTGAGCCTTAAAAACCCCACAAAAAGCTTAAACGGATAGTCTAGAAGCATTTAAAAAAGTCACGTGATATTTGTTTCATCCCTTCTATTTATTTCTTTCCTCGCCTTTCCGCTCGCGCCCGCAATCCTTTCTGTTATTTTCGTTGGAACGTCATGTAATATTATCGTTTTGTCAATTTATTCGCCATATTTGAAGTCTTTGGAACGAAGCAAGTTTTTGAAGCTATTCACTGTATTAAAATGCAAGCTCTTATGATTTATACAAGTAAGTGCAATATTACGTTATGATGTTTTATTCGTATTACGTTTAATTAATATGTTTTATTCATAACACAGCTGTTAGTTGGACCCCCTGTGAAATAAATAGAAGGGATGAAACAAATATCACGTGACTTTTTAAAATGCTTCTAGACTAAAATTATAGCTATAAGTGCACAATAAACTTTTGAAATGACGAAATATAACAATATTAACATAATTGAAATATCCTGGGATATCTGTTATGTACTTACCACAATAAACAATTAAATCTGTCTTGATGTTTCGTATATACAAGCTCGCTCAACAGAGTTTCGCGAACCGCCGAACCCTCGTCACTTGACACTTTTGATTCCAGCTTCAGTTTTGAAATGATTCCACCGATCAATACTACAATTTCGATGCATACCTTTTCGCGAAATATTCTTTTCGATTTCCTGTTTGGTTCTGGCGACCAGCAAATATTATGCATTAGAAGGATTTGCCTTTGAAACTCTCAAGTAGATGGTCGCGAGTCGGCCATTGTCAACCGTGCTGTAGCGTGTTGAAATTGATATTTGATATGCATTTCCATTTGTAACAAGAGCTTACTTTTCCAATGACTGGAGGGAATTCATATTGGATTGCCAATCCAGCACCACCACAAAATACTTTCACGTTTAGTTTCACCGAGCAAGATAACAACTGACAAGTGGCTTCATACATATTAGTTTCTATTTGATTTTGAAACAATTGCACAACGGAATAACTAATATTCGTAAAAACACACTTTAGAAACATCTTTTTAGATATAAAGTTTCTTTTTTGACCGTATTTCTTGCTTTGATGTGAATATATAAGTGAGTTAAAAACAATTAGAATTTTGGCACTCCTGTGCGTCAGCCATCTTTTCTGAAATGCTAACAGTTTATAGTATTACGTAATATTTTTCTATGACAATGTTTACAAAATGTGTACACATTTGAGACATGCGCAGAATGGACTGTAACCCAGCTTTAAGCTTTTTGTGGGGTTTTTAAGGCTCAGTCGATGTTCTCTTACATGAACAAGCCTAGTCATTACCAAAAAAGCACTGATCAATCTAATTTATGTGATTTATAACAGCGAGCATTCTTGGCCATTATCGCGAGATGTGTTCCATAAGTAGCTGCCTCGTCCCCAGTCGCTTGCTATCAAATAATTAATTAGTAAAAGACGAAAAAAAATTAATGGGGGCGCGGGACGATGGGAAGGGGAGGAGTTGCGGAGCTTTTTTCGTCTTCCCAGCATGCATCACAACAGATTTGTTCAGCCACTGATTAGCCTGCGAACAGGCCCTGGGTTGCGGGCGGCGCGAAGAATAGAGGGCCTGCACGGATGATAGGTTTTCTTGGTAGTGGCGTTCGTATAGAAACGCAGGCTTCTGATTGGCTTACACTCGTTGACAAAATTACTAAAAATAGCAAATGTCAACAACAGCACTTTGAAGAATTTGAACTTTATTCATTTTAATATTATATATTATAGGACTATCGAACAAATAAAACTAGAAATGGAAACCAAAAGCAATAGCAAAGCATCACAGCAAAAAAATCTATCATAAATGACTTGAATCTATCGCTTAAATCCAATATACGAAACTATAACAGTATTCTGAACTTCGTCTTCGGATTGACATCAGACCATAGTATAGTACATTTTGAGGTCGTCGTGGCTTCACGGATTATTCTCATTAGTGAGCAAGTCAGCAAGCGAAGGCATACAAAAGATACCCAAATATGTACGAATAATTATATTGTCGATCCTCGCTGGCATGTCATTTAGATAAATATATATCGTACATTAAACGTTGTACTGTTTACTGTGTATTAACTGCTGACAATTTCGTCGTCGATACGGCTTCCACTATTGGCACACTCGTGATTTCGAAGAAATTAATAAATACATGCTCATTTATCATTTATTTAGACCACAGTTAGTAAAATTTTAAACGTATTCGGTATTCCAAATCCCAATCTATCTGACCGTATTTTAGTAATAGCTTCAAAATATTCAGAACATTGTTCTTTCAGTCGCACATAGTACAAGTATTACTGTACATTCAAAGCCAATGGTAGTTTATTCGGCTTTATATTTGTATGTGTATTGATATCTATTTAATATTTGAAGAATTCTATATTTTCCGAGTAATATATTGTGCGGCCCGCTAATGCTTTGTATTATTATTGTTCATGTTGCACAATGTACACGCCTTGCGTCAATTTGACAGTTGACAGTTTATTTATCGCAGTCGACGCTGATTGGTTAGCGTTTAGCAGATGCGAAAAGGGGATGAATGAATAAAACGCATGGTTCCGTGCAGGCTCACCTTTCTCCCAGTGAGCCTGTTCGCAGGCTAGCCATTTTCAAATGGCAGGACTTGCTAGTATATTTCATAGTAAATTCATACAAGAAATCTTGGTTTCTGATTGGATAATTAGGTCTACGCATGCTCAAACCGGCTGTTTACAAATGCGAAGTCCTGCTCTCTCGAAATGGCAGGACTTGGCCTTGTATTATTTTTACTTGCGAGCTTTCCGCGTGACTAAACCCACTTTTCACTAATTCTGTCGAGATTACTCAAGTTATGAATATGGAAATCAACGAGTGTGGAAGCCCAATGTGATTTTGATATAATTTCTGGCTTCTGCTAAGATATTTTAGCTCACGAAATGCATGTGAACAGACTCGACTGATGATTGTGTATTTTTATAATACAATATATTAAATGGGGAATACAAACTTCATTTGTGAAGCCTGTCGTATTGATATAAAGTAAGAACGTAATATTTACTGCCAGTTCATCTGCTTTGTGCATTTGAAACGAGCACTTATATGGAGTTTAATTTTAAAAATGATAATACTGTACCAATTCACACTGTTTATGTAGATATTTGGCCGCATAGACTATATTAAACGCTATATTATTAATACCATAGGCATAGGGTACTGAATTACATTCAGAGTGCCAGGCGTAGTGATCTGTCACATTACTAACAAACGTAGTGAATGTTTAACGAATGCTAGCCGTAGCGTTTATATAGTGTATAAAACGCCGTGTTCAACAGTATAATAGTTATGCAATTGTTGATTATGTGAGATTGGATTGTGTTGATCAAGTGAAAGATCGTATTACAGACGCGTATTGTATACATGATATTTTCCTCTTTCGTGACTTGACTATATTTAGCTACATTTTCAGTTAAGTTGAAAAATATATAGTGAAATATGATAAAAAATGCATGGATTTCAAAAAGTTATAAATTTTTTGTCTAAAAAAAATTATCAAAAATTTTCCGCTAATCACGCAATTTTTTGATGTTCCCTTTGGAGTATTTCGCCGTGATATCGCAGGAAATGGCCATTCCAGACTTCTAAAATTCAAAATTTCCCGGGGGAGCATGCCCCCGAACCCCCCTAGAATGTGTGGGTCTTAGAGCAGGACTAGTCAAATTTCGCTAGCTACGCCACTGATGATTGTCTCTTATTGAATCTCCATTTCCGCTATTGGTTTATTAATGCTCTAACTTTTTGTCTGGCCTAGGTCTAGACCCAGCCAGACCACAGTTTGAAGGAAGACATGCTGAAGCACGCCTGGACAAAACTGATGCACATTTTGTTGACGTCATTCACACTAATTCCGCACCTTTCCTCTTTGGTGGAGCAGGATATCGCGGTCAGCTTGGTCATGTTGATTTCTATCCTAATGGAGGAGAATATCAGCCTGGATGCGAGGGATTATTGAGATGTAAGCAATGAATGTATTGTTTCAGCGTCATCCATGTGAGTGTCACCCCGCATAACAATCGCAAAAACAATTGACAACAACAGCATGCACTGCACTATAACGACAACGACAACGACAACGACAACGACAACGACAACGACAACGACAACAACAACAACAACAACAACAACAACAACAACAACAACAACAACAACAACAACAACAACAACAACAACAACAACAACAACAACAAAAGGTTTACTGCACGAGGTTTTTGTGACGTCCAGAATTATCAAGGTCGAGGTAAGTGTAATTGTATAGCAAACTGCCGCTTGCTATAAAATTACATACCGCTGACTCAAACTACAGATAACAGTGTTATGTGCTATTAGATACAAACTATAACACTGTTATATGAACGTTGCGAATTCTATATTTAGCTGTAACTTAATGGTCAATCAAAGGACACACAGTGAATGCAATGTATAATAACAACAGTAATAATACCATAATCAGCATAATGAAACATTAATGACTTTATAATGCCATTTCTATATAGCAATCTGGCAAAGTGGCGTCTTAAATGCAGCAACATGCCACCACATGAGAGCAGTGGAATATTTCACGGCATCAATTCGACAAGAGTGTTTGTTTCCAGCGTTTCCATGCTCTAGCTGGAAGGAATTTAAGGAGGGAAAATGTTTCAATAAATTCCGTGTCAGAGATATATCACTCATGGGCATGCAAGCACAACAATGTAAGAAACACGAGCAGCCAATGTATCTGACCACAACATCGAAATCACCTTTTTGTGGTATGTGAATTATAAATGTTTTAAAAATAGTTGTTGACTTCATAAAAGTTATACTGCAGCCAGGGGCTACCATGTGGTGGAGGTGGGACTCGATGTTTTTTTCAGCAGAACTGGACCGTCACACCTAACGTTTTTAACTCCTTCTATGTAGACATTTATGTTCACGTGAAATTTATTCCAAGAGCATTTGGCAGACAGGTTTCATTTTGATAAGACAACCATAGCCTCGCGCTAATTGGCTAAGCTAATTGAAACGTTGAAATGCTAATTATACAGACATTGGAGAGCTTCAGATTTGACTTCCACTACTGCTACCACTAATAGATTATTAACCAATCAAGATGCGTTGTGCCAGGGAGAGGTAGTAGTAGCGGTAGTGAAAGTCAAATCTAAAACCTCTTTAAAGTCAAATCCAACAGACGATTTGTGTTTGAGAATGCACTAATTGAATGATCATAATTCTAACCTAATACTCTTTTTCAGTTTACAATTATGTGATTCTAATATCTTATTCAAAAAGTGGAAGAAAATACAATGCTTTGTATGTTCAATTAACTGGAAGTAAAAGCACATCCCAGAAGAAAAAAATTCAATTGGACAGGTATATTTGTGTATGTTGAAAATAGATAAGGAAGCTTTGGGGAAAATAGATAATATCCTCCACCTTGTACTTAATTTTAGTTTCATAAAACGCTTTCTTACGTTTCTTAGGGAATCTGGAACCAAACTAGAACTGACTACGGATAGTGAAGATATTGGAGAACTGATTAGTGTGGAACTGTTTTACTACGGCTTTAATTCCTTCTATATCCAGAATGTTCGGGTAAACATTCTACATAGAAATGAAATGTAAGTAGTATAGAAGTAGTAATCTTTAGTCGAAAACGCAAGAAACATGTAACAAGGCCAAAAATTTTAAGCATCTCCCCCGTTGACAACAATTTTGGAATGTTTTACCTCCAGCAATGATCTTTTTGACACCATTACATTCATACATGCGTAGTGAAGTGATCTGAGAAATTCCTGAATCGTTTGTATGTATGTATACATAGCAGGATATATACCATATCCCATTTTAAACGCTATAGTATTTTTTTGTTTTAGATATATCTCTTGTTTTGACCAACTCGTCAAAAATAGTTTCTGGTTGTTCTGGAGGGTCTCTAAAGCCATATACAAACGTGAGGCGTATCTCGGTGAGGATTGCGGAACGACATTTTTCTAAGTCGGATGGTATGGTCAAGGGACGTGTTGGAAACTCAAAGCAATGGCATACAAAAAAGTTTCACCTCCATAAATGTTTATCCAAGAGTATTATAAAGATCGTTCTTGTCAGCAAGTGACGTCTGCATGTGCCACACATTTGTTTCGACTTGAGCAAGACGAAACTGGAATGACGAAGATGCATGTCATATGTTGAACTGTGGAGAAATTACAGTACGCCCTATTTAAATATGGAGTAATATAATCGAAACGTTGATATCAGTAGGGCACTGACGTATTTAATATTATTAAGTTATATAAGTACTGTATATAACAAATTGTGTAAGTGAAATAGCCATGTTGTAAATAGTACTAGTACGTGAATTTTATATTAATTAAGGATCGATCAATATTATTACAAACATGTGCATGTTCTATAAATATATGCGCTTTTGACGGTCGATATACAGCGCTCTCCCATACGCGCATTTCTCTAATACAGACACTTCTCTAATACGGACACCTCACGAATATAGACCGCCCACTTTAATATGGACACCACTCGAATACAGATACCTTTCGAATAAGGACATACCTCTCAAATATGGAAACCCCCGAGACCTGTCTGGTTCTGATACCTTTTAAATATGAAAAATTCTCGAACACAGACACCTCTCCTTAAAGGCCGTTTTCCACTTCAAGCGTACCGAAACGTACCGAAGCAATTTCTTTTGTGTCGAAGTCATCTGGAAACAAAGAAACCCGCTACGCTTCAGTACGTTTAATGTGGAAAACAGCCTTTACTGTTAACTCTCGAATACGGACACCTTTATATTACCGACACCGCTCCGTTACGAACCTCTCTTTCTAATACGGACCACCACTTTAATACGGACACTTCTCTGATACGGATATTTCTTTATTATAGACACCTCTCAAATACAGGCACCTTCTAATACGGGCACTTCTCTGATATAGACACCTAGCTCGTCATTGCGAACTTTCCCTAATACGGACCGCCACTTTAATACGAACATTTCTCTAATACGGATTATAGAAACCTCCTAATACGGACACCTCTCTAATACAGAAACCTCTCTAATGATTGTGGACACCTCTATTATGGACTCCTCTCTAATACGGAAAAAAATCATTGCATGCATTTAATTTGTCATTAAAGTTTAAAGCGCGGTCAAGATAACGTAAAGTTTGCAGATCTAACTGTTGCTTTAGGTAACCGCAGATTAAATTTCCACTATCCACCGGTGATTTCGGCTATCCGACGAATAAAGTTAAACGGTCTCGTGGGATCGTTTAAATCGCTATCCGGCGGATAAAATCGAGTTTTGAAGACAAAACAATAAGTATTTTGGATGAAAGAGGGAAGGGTAGTAATAGAAATGCCAAAAATCCTGTTGAGGAGTTACCTTTAAATCCAATTACCATGCATGCATGAAAAACTCACTTTTAACTGGCTTGATAGTACACGAGGTCACTTGCTCACTAGAGAGGTTAAGCTTCGCGTATTATACGTCAAACGGCAAATTACGCCAGGCAAAGAAACATTTTGCGGTATCAGGCAATAAAGAGTACTAAATAAACTAGCTGTTTTAATTAAAACTGAAATACATAATTATTCTTTCGACGCAAGAAAGAAAATATGAAACGAAAACGTTCAACGAAAATTTTGCCAAGAAAGTTCGACCCTGCATGGATGCCGTTTGCCGTTCTCGGAAACGTGAAGTTTAAACTCCCTACTAATTTAAATAATCCCTTCGCTTTAGCTTTATTGGAAATGGAATGGATTTATGATTATCCATAATAATTGTATATTTCCATGCTCTGAATATAGTATCGAAATAGTATGGATATACTATGGATTTAGTGGTGCAATTGCAAATCTCATAGTATGGATTTCACATTTTTCCCCAGTGTTATTTCATATTTTTCTCCATATTATATTGGAAATAGCAAAAACAAAATGCTATGCTACACGTACAGCAATAAAATCTAAATCACCGTTACTGAAAGCGGATGTTTACAAAGCTGAAATTATGTAGCTAAAATATTATTTTAGAAACATGATTTTTAGACAACATTTCCATCTAAATTTTATAAGGAACTAAATTTTTCATAATTTGACCGCACTTTATCCGCAGAAATAGAAGTAAAGGTGCATACCCAGTGTGATTATAGTATATGTTTATGTTACAAGAAATCTTAATATAGCTTTCTCTCTGACTCTATGAAAAGGGTTTAATGACAGCTAGTGCGCAAATGAAGTTAGACTGAAAAACCATTTTATTTTTTTAAGTTCGAAATGCTTCTGTTTTTCATCACAATCGAGTGTAATTGCAAGGCCTTTCTTAAATCTTACTGTATTTAAACATGCATTTTTAAATCCTTTTATTTCTCACTGTGTTCTGGCAGCGCTATCAAAAAATTTTAAATAGTTTTGGCAGCTACTGATTAGTTGATGTCATAATGTAGGTTATTTAATTTGGTAAAAAAACACTTGATGTCATAATGTGAATTACTAAATTTGGCAAAAAATTAGTTGACGTCATAATCTTAATTACTTAATTGAGTTAATTAGGTCGCGCAAAGCTATAAAAGTGCGTGCGCAAGCGAGATAATTAGTTGACTGAAGACGTTGGTAGTGAGAATTTATGTCACTTGGAATTGTCAAAAATTCCACTAATTCAGCTTATCTCATACACAAACGACATAAAATGAGAATTTGGACTGCTAAATATACAGTTCATGTCAAATTTCATTTTGAAATATTGATAAATTATTCGTTTCCACTTTTTATCATACGATGTAAGTTTTACTACAAGGACTGAATCCATTGTCTCGGAGAATGAGGCAACAATTAACCAATATTTGTTTTATTTTTTAGCTCTCTTGTGTTGTTACGGAACTGAGGAACTGACTACGCGAATTCTGTATGATAAATGACTAACTCTGACACCAAATAATGAATATGAAAACGCACAGTTCTGGAGGGCAAAAATCACGATTACATTTGTATTGAAATTTCACCGACTGTTGCATGAGACTAAGGTAATTAGATATATTATCTCAGATTTATATTTGCATGTTATTGTATTTTTAATTTGGCTTTGCGAGTCAGCGTTACTGATTAACATTTTGAGACATTCTGTAGCAATTTATGATGCCATAATGATAATTATTTGAATATAGAAAGTTCATGCAAGTATAAAAGCGCGCGTGCGCAAATCAAGATAATTAGTTGAACAATAACTGTGGCCACAGAATAAAGATCAGTAACAGAAGGGCAACTCAGCGGTGCAACGTGTCCTCGTTTTTTTATGCAAAAATATGCAGTTTACTGGCCAGAAGGCGGAGCAGCCAGCCAGTACAGCGTGTTTATTGGCCAGAAAATGTCATTGACTGGCTAGGAACATGGCGGCCAACATGCGTAATGCGACATGCGCGAGGACAGAAACTTCAAAGCTTCCGACGTAAGTTGCCCTTCTATGTGGATCTTTATTCTATGCTGTGGCCTCACTTAACTCGTAGAGTAACGTAACAATTAATCAAAATTTCTTTTTCATTTTCCAGATTTCTCGTCAAGTTGCAGGATGGCAGGATGGTGGAACTGCATGTTGTTGTTAGCTTTATGGAATAATGACAAGTTTGACAACAAATATTGCGTCGTAACTGGCATGGTGAATGATATGCAACTATCTGAAAAATATAAGCAGAACTTCGAATCAGTTACCTGTCAGCAATTTGTTGGGAAAATCAAATTGTAAGTTTCACTTATTTGTTCTGTATTTCATTTTTCCATGCATGCATGAAGAAATGCAGGAGGAAGGATTACCCCTGAGAGGAGTAATATAATAATAATAATAATAATAATAATACAGAAATTTCTATACCGCCGTTTCCATATAGCCCAATGGCGCTTTACAATTTAAAGAGTGAGAAGACGCAACAACTTAAAAAATATATAGCTAATAACGTTGAAGGTAAACAGAGTTTAACTGCATGAGTGGTAGACACATGAACTCTTTTTTCTCTGTTTAGTCACAACAAACTTGAAGAAACCAAATCAAAAACAAAGAAATTAAGAAAATAGAAGGGATTAATGTTTTGAAAAAACAATTTGGCAGTGGCTGCAAACAAGAGGTACGCCAGAAAACTAAAATGTTATAATATTAACAGTATCTCGAGATAACGGGTGGATCAATGTCAAGACTCCTCACTTTCAACTTCTTGAGCACCAAATCTGTACAAATTGTGTATCTTGAGCGGTCACTCACCTTTCAGTTCAACTAACGTTATTTCGAGCCCGCTGTATACAACAGCAGTTGTAGATCTTTAATCTTTAATCTTTAAAATTCTTTAAGCACGGTAGCCATTCAGCATGCTACGCTGATTTTCAATGGGCCGTGCACACTATACAACATATATTAACCTAATTCTATAAAACAAAATAGTGAAGCCTACATACTGGTCAGCTTCACACTATAATATATACTAATACATTAAACAACTAATTATTATAATTATAGTAAAAAACTGCTGATATTACTGATTAACCCAAGGGGACTTAATCCGTTCTGTAGTGATTGATGAGCATAGATTTAGCAACATTTAGTGTGATATTGTCGACGTTTTGTCTAATGTTATCCGGGAGATTGTTCCAAGATTTTGCCGCTCTATATGAGAAACTTTTTTTGAGAAAATTTGTGTTAGGTTTATCAAGGGAAAGTTGGCAAAAGTTACCTCTCAAGTTGTACGTTTCGTTTGAACAGAAATTAAACATTTCTGCGAGATAAGTCGGAGAATTAGCAGTAAGTGCTTTAAAAGTAACAATATTTTCTCGAATAGATAAGCTTTTATGGATTGGCATCCAATCAAGTTTTCGAAATATTTCATTGGACCATATTTCATTGGACCCATTTAGCCCACCCCCAGAGGCTTCTTTGGGTTTTCAGCAGCTTTTCCAATATGCAGGCTCGCGGGCTAGCAGAAAGCGCGCGGGGCGAAAAAGAAATGCGAGCAGGATAATGGGGAACATTATAGGCGCGCCTGCCTGCCAATGAAAATGTCACTGAAAACTAATGAAGCCTGTGCGGATGAGAATCAGGTTAATTAAAAAGTTGTTGAAAAGCTGATCAACAACATGATTGATCCTACGTCTCCTATACGTACAGTTATTCCACAAATTGTGTCATTGTATTCACTAGATTTTAATTTATTGAATATATCTATAACACTTTTATTTTTAAATGATCGAAACTTTTATCTATACGTGTGTTTTATCTAAAGCAGGTTTAAACTAATATGTTGATCAGCATTTGAACAATATATAACAGAATAGCTACGGTTGACAGCAGATAACTTC